TGGGGAGGGGCCCAGCTCAGAGGGGCTCCGGCCCACGTCACAGCACGATGCCTAGTCTGAGATTCTGGGAGTCGGGGAGACGCGGGCGGGCCTGGCCTGGCCTGGCCTGGCCGGGGGCTCTAGGCACCTGTGGCTTTGCAAGGGGAGGTGGGATTGAGACGAGCAGAGCCGCGTGTACGAGGGTAGCCCAGGGGCGCGTGCGCTGCAGGTGGGGAGCGTGGGGCGTTGGCAGAGCGGTAGGGGGGGCTGTGTAGCCCACGGGTCGAGTTCCACATTCCTGGAACGGTCCCTACTTTACAGAGGGGAACAGAGAGGCCTCTGCAGGGGAAGTCACTGCCTGGAAGTCACGTGGCAGGTCCAGGGCAGAGGTGGCCGTGCCCAGAGCTACCCAGCGCTGAGGCCACCTGCTCCTGCCACGTGGCTGCACTGCCTCCGCCTGGGCCTGGCTCGCCGTTAGCCAGGGCACGCAGCTCGGCCTCCCTTAGCACAAATCCAGCCCAGGGGAGGAAGCTGCCGGTCCCAGGGCCTGGTGGAAGCGAAGGTGAATGGTGGTTACCGGGCTCCTCTCCGCCCTGCCTCCAGCACATGCTGATTTTCGGGTCTTGCCGCGATCTCTAGGCAGCGGAATTAATTCGGTCCCTGCCTGTCCCTCCTCCAAGCTGCGCGGAAGTCCCATCTGTCGCGTCCCAGCCAGGCTCCCTGCGAAGCCGATGCTGTTGGCCAAGGACAGCAATGAGAGCAAGACTCAGGCATGAAACTGCCCCTCCCAGACCCATAGCAAGAGGGGCAAGCGGCACAGAACAGGAGCACCTGGCCAGGCCTAAATGCTGCCGTACGGGCAGGGGCGAGACAGGCAGCTTGCACGGATGGGGAGGGAGCCGAGTTCAGATCCCCCTGTGGGGCAGCATGTTGTGCATCTGCTGCCGACCCGCCCCAAGCCCCACCAGATGGAGAGGTGCCCAGATACCATAGTGATGGGGGCACCAGAGAGGCCCCGGATCCACGGGCTGACGTGCGAGCTTTCTGAGAGAGGAGTGGGCCATCAGACACAGAAGGGAGATCGCTCTCGGGGCCGTTCCACCCTCTCCCGCCCACGGGCAGGGCAGTGACATAGACAAAGGGCTCTTTGGGGCCCGATTCACTCCTCCCAGGAGTCCTGATGCCCAGGTCCACACGCTGTCCTGGGCCGCCCGCTCCCGGTCCGGGCTTCGTGGGAGCGAGACTGACACAGCACCTTCCAGGTGCTCCCGGAGCGCGTCTCTCCCGGTCTCGTTTAACCTGTTCCTGGCCGCACAGGGCTGCGCTCTGGGCCCGTTCCTGGGGCCGAGTCTCTGTGTTAACCCAGCTGTGGCCTGCCGGGCAGAGTCTGAGGCCATCCCTGCAGCAGCTGGCTCGGAAGCAGAGGGGACAAGTGTCACGGAGTGTGGGGGAACTCAGGGCCCTGCACCCCCGGCTTCCTGCGATTCCCCATGACTCTCAGCCAGCCAGTAAAGCAGGTGGTTTATTTAGACGACAGGAACACAGTCCAAGACAGGTCTGGCAGGCACAGACAACAGGATCCCCTTAGTTAGGTCCATCTTGGGGTCCCAGGGGCACCACAGCCCCATTGGGGGGGGGGGGGCAGAGCCCCGTCTGGGTTTCCTCCATTACCAGCCAGCTCCTGAAACTCTCCCTCCCCCCGCGTCTCCTCCCCCAGCCTTTCTCCCGGGCAAAGGTGTCACCTGGCCTCTACCCCTTCCTGGGTTCTCACGTTACATGTTCAGGTATTCTCCCTCGGCCAGTCTCCCATCCCCCCATGCAGACCGTCCCAGCCAACACTCCCCTGTCTTCCCAGCCAAAACTCCCCACTCAGCATTCAAAGGCCACATTAAGAACAGTCCCAGTTCCTCACAACAAGCCAGCCCGGGGGCAGCAGGCCTGGCCCCTGGTGCTGCTGCTGGGCTCAGGGGCCCAGGTGGGTTGATGGGGAAGGAGGTTTGGCAGGAGCGAGGGCGGAGGCCGGACTAGCACCGTGTAAGCGCCCTGTCCTCGAGCCTCTGCCTTGATGGGATTGACGCTCCTCAACCACACGCAGCTCGGCCCTGGCCCCATTTCCTCGCGCCGCCTCGGGTCAGTGTGTGGGGCGGGGTGGGCGGCCGTGCCCCGGATTCTGAACACGCCGTCTCCTTCCAGGTGAGCGAGGACTGGAAATACGTGGCCATGGTGATCGACCGCCTCTTCCTGTGGATCTTCATCTTCGTCTGTGTCTTCGGGACCATCGGCATGTTCCTCCAGCCGCTCTTCCAGAACTACGCCACCACCTCCCTGCTGCAGCTCAACCACGGCCCGCCCAGCTCCAAATAGGGCTGGGGGACGGCCGGCAGCCCTGCCCCGTGCGCGCGGAGCCATCATCCCACCACAAAGACAGTGGCCTGGCGCACGTGACTGGAGCACGCAGGCCTGGGGGAGTCCGGGGGGGGGGGTCGTCAGGGCCTTGCTGCTGTTTTCAGTCCTGGCTCCCGCTGCTGGGGGGGGAGGGGGGAGCTCCACGTCCGCCCCATTGAGAGCAAAGCCCCAGGAGCTGACGGAGGAGACAGGCCGGGAGCCGGGCGCAGCTCGAGGTGTCCCGGCCCTTCCTGGGAGGGACAGGACTGCTCCAGCAACTGCGCTTGGGGGTCAAGGAGGGCTTCCCTCCCCCCAGAGATAGATTAGCGAGGCCAAATGGTCCCCACAGTAGCGCGGGGTGAGCAAAGCGGGGCCAGGTCGCATGCGGCCAGGGGCAGGGCTGGCTGGGGGTGAACACGCCCCAGACACGTCCTCTGGACTGAGCCCGGAGCCCGTTGCTGCATTCAGCCAACTGTGTCCCTGGAAGCTCGGGGGGGTGGGGGCGCTGCCCGGGGCAGCCTCAGACATCCGCTGTTGCTTCCAATGTCACCGCAGCCCAATAAATAATCACACGGACTCGGGGGGAGGGGGAATTTGTTTAAAACTTGGTTTAATTTGACCCCCTTTTTATTTCTAAGCCACCCTCATCATGGGGCGCCCTGGAGCAGGGGAGAGGCAGGGCCGAGAGGGCACAAGGGCTGCAGTTCTCCAGGTGGGCTGGGAACTTTAACACGGGGGAAGAGCAGCGTCCCTGTCTCGTTGCGATTTACACGCTGTTAACGCCGAGCCAGAGCGCACGTGGGGCCACTGCACCTGGCCATGCCCCGGCGAGGGCTCTTGTGCCACCGCAGATCACGATCGGGCTGCACCAGGCTGCTGCGTCAGTGCCAATGCCGGTGGAAGATGTCAGTGAAACACGGGTGCGAACGTGCAGCAAAGCTGGATTTCACCAGTGTCATAGAGGGCGTTAAAGTGCGACCTGCTGCGAAGCGGCGCACGGGGCAAAGGGGAGCCAGGTTCAGCCGATGCCACTGGACTTCCGTGGAGCGAGAGTGATTATTACAGCCACGAGCCAGCTCGATCGAGATCCTTGCAGACACACCCAGGAGTCGCCCGTGGCCCCAGTTTCCCTCTGCAAGACTCCGAGGGTGGCTCGTCAGATCTCAGTATTACTATCAGTCCGTGGGTGAAAGCTCCCACTGCCTGTTCCTTCTGCCGGAGCCCTAGGGCCGTCCCCTCCCGGGTTCCAGCTCTGCGGGGGGCGAGAGGCAGCAGATACAGCCGCAGCTCGATTAGGAACCGTGTCCAGGCCCCTGGCTGGTGCCCTGGAGCGGATGTGGGGTGGAGGGAGATGGACAGTGCATGTGCAGAATGGAAACCCAAGGCCAGTGGCGCCATCCCT